TGAATGTTACACTTGGGGATTTGGGGACACGGATTTCAGTTTTGGCTTTGTATGACTGTATTTCATTTGACCTCTAGTAAACTATAAATGGACTTAAGGATCGCTCTTTCTTAGGAGCTCCAGCTGAGGCAAGTCTGACACTAAGTGAGTTCTGTTTTCTTGTTGACAGAAGCCACAGCTGCTCTTTGCATGAACCTCGTTTCATTATCTCTTTTGTATTCTTACTACTGTATATTCATCAAAACAAAGACCAGGTTTTTTCCCCCCCAAGACTTGACTTTTAAAATGGGACAATTCTATTAGAGATGATGAAGTTATGGTAATGGAACCAGTTTGTTTGTTTGTTTCTTCCCAGAAAGGGGTTGGTGGGTTGGTGGGTGAAGGGATTGTTTTATATTTGGTGTCTCTTCTTTTCAAATGAAGATTATACCAGATACTCATCACTACTTTTGTCCTTCAAAGTATCTCCAGCACTCTGCTTACAATATTCTGATATAAAAACTTTAAATCCACTGTAAAAGTTTACTGCGCGTAGACCACAATCACAATTGTATAGCAAAGTGGACATACTATAACAAGAAAACAAAACCTTGAGGCTACAATAAATCAAGTAACGGAAGGCCACAAGCAACAGCTCTGAATGTGCTATTTAATTAATGCTAACACACATTCTGGTAGAAGTTCCCTGAGGATGGGCTCCAGCACAAGTCTGAAGGCTCAGAAGACTAAACCTCTGGTCTTGGTGACCAACCCAGATTGGATCCTGCAACATTATCCTGGGACATGTATATTTGCCTTCATTCGTTCATCATATGGTTTAGCCTCCAGCCCCGTTATCAGTTGTTTTTTTCTGCATTCTTTCTAGGGTCATCACATCTTTTTTTGTATCATGGTGACCAGAATTTGATGTTATATTCCAAGTGTGGTCTCACCTGTGCAGTATACTAACACTTCATGTGATCATGAAACTATCCCTCTGTTGATGCATTAGCTCAGTGGGGCATTAGCTCAAGGGGGCGTTTTATCAGGTTCGCCTGATTCACCAGTTGCGTCCTTTTCTGGACCGGGACGCTCTGCGCACAGTCACTCATGCTCTCGTCACCTCCCGCCTGGACTACTGTAATGCTCTATACATGGGGCTCCCTGTGAGGAGCATCCGGAGGCTTCAACTGGTCCAGAATGCGGCCGCGCGGGCGGTGTTGGGAGGGACT